ATCCATGACTACAAGCATTCCAGCACTCGGCCCTTCGAACTCACAGGTTTTTGGTCATCCGACCTCACCGCTCGATCATCCTTGGCCTCAGTGGTTAAAACGTTCAGTCCACAAATGAGCAACGACCGTAAACACGCTCCCTAACACTACGACTACAACCTCCCTCAAACTCATAAGTCCTATAGTTACCCCTCCATAAAACAGAACGGTTAACTCGGACTTGGGGGGCATGTATCGTAGGATATTTATTAGATAAAATATCTTAGATATTTTGAGCGGTTAAGATATTTATGAGTAACTAACCAGATTTTTAGGTAAGGTTATTTTTATTGGCCTATAAATACAATGACAGGGAAAAACACCAGGTACGTCCCCTCTACGTTCTACTTATGCCAGAGGAACTCTAGATAATATTTTACAGTGATAATATAATCACTTTCTTAGAGCTGAGGCTCCATAACTCAATCTGACTTGAGCGTCGGAGTATCTTCGCAGGTACCTCCCCCTCCTTTGGAGCATGAACGCCAACAATTGAGGAAAAGCAAGCGTCCCGGATATCTAGAAGCAACAAAGACACACCGGACAACATTTACACCGAAACACTTTGTAAATAAATTTGACTTGAATCTTATATTTCAAGTCAGATGCATTCTTTTCACAACCCAATCTATCTATGCATCAATAGCTTTTATATTATGTTTCAAGTGAGACTCCTAAAACTTACAAAGAAGATATAATTCAAAATACCATTCAAGTAAGTAATGTAAATTCATAATACCATTACAAATAAGCATTCACAATTGATTTATTATGTAATTGTTGTTAATTTTGATTAAAATCTGTTTTGAAGACAAAGTTTGCAATCAATTATGATATTCAAATCAACTACGTCTTCAAAGCACTTAATCATAAATGGAGAGTGTCCCATATGCACCGGGCGGTCAGAGAGCAGTATAACGGCCGGTGTTTCTTCAATCTTTTTATTCCTCTGATAGCATTGACCGGACGGCTGGCATCAGCACTCACCACACATTGTGTGACCCGACCATTCATCAGCCTCCTCGAATGAGTAATGACGGTATACCGTCTGGGCGGCGGTGTAAGGCCGGCCGGTCGGTAACCTGGATCATTAAGACTAGGATTAAGGTAAATGGTGATTAGAGCCATTGGGCTGAAATTGGGTCGTGACTAACTCTTCACTAATCCCAAGCCCATGGCGAAAACTATAAATACAGGTCAGAGGTGAGTGGTAGATAGGTTGCATTTACTACACAATCATTACTATTTCATTGAATCGCCGAACGGTTCCTGTACTGACTTTGGCATCAGAGAATCTTTGACAGGTTCCTCCCGAACAGAAGAGTGGACAACAAAGCTTGGAAAGAGACCGGACGGCTAGAAGACAAATTGTGGAGGAGTTTGGTGACTTAGCCCCAAATAACCGAAACAGAGAGATTCTCGACAAGAATTGTGGCAACAAAGAGATTATGGCACACGTACTAGAGATGAATTGATTGTTATGTCTCCAAAAGGAATAGATAAAGATCATTGGGATTCTTTTGTTGACTACCGGCTTGATGAAAGAACAAAGGTAAACCTAAATTTTTTTTTCTTAAAATTATGTTATAAATTAATAACTTTTTATATGACAATGTCAGGAGATTGCCCAAAAAAATAAGCATAAATGGACAAAGCAAACTCTTGCTCACACAGGGGGGTCGAGAGTATTGCAAGGAAAAGGGAAGAAATGGTGAAGTGTTATTATTCTTCAGCTTTCTATTTCTCATTATATTTATGACATACTTACTATGCATTCGTCCATTTTCATTGGAAAGAGAGTGTTGATACAAAGTTATCAGAGGAAAATTCTGGATAGCTACCCATAAGAAGACCAATAGAGCTTTTGTTAGTGATGAGGCAAGAGAAATTGGAGTAAGTTTTATTCCTGCTACAGATGTATAATAGTTTAGTGCAGCAAATATGAAATTTATAGATGTAATTATGAGTTGGGTTTCGCATTGATTGACGTTGTGCCATTGAAAATTGCATTCTTAAATATTGAGTCTGTTTCAACTGTGAAGCAAATGATTTAATATGATTAGTAATGCTTATGAGTATTGGTTTAATAGTATAGATAACTTCATGATGTATGTCTGGTATTGCATGAACTCATCTTTAAACTCTAAAACTATGTTAAGTGTCGAATGTATGTTATTATGTGAACTGTATAAATGGTTTATATGAACATAAGATAGGAAATTGATGGTCAAAGCCTAAACTAGCTTGTGTGTTATCATGTACCTAAGTTGTAGTATGGAAGTGTGTGGTTATTAGAACTTTGTGCTTATGGTGAGTTATAGGAAGTATTATACTGGTCAAAAGTGAAGGATGAATATAATTAGTTAAACCTTTGTCTTTTATTCATGTATTAAACGTGAAGGATGAAGCTAACCTTTGTCTCACTTATTCTCTCAACCGAACCAACTTTTGCTCTCTTCAATTTTTCTTCTAATTCGTGCACATTTAAGTGATGGATTAAAACAATGTTATAGCTGTGGAATAAACAATTTTGGTACTCTTTCATTATTAAACCATTGTTATCATATCAGTTCATAAACTAAATACTTGAACCAAAGAAAATTGAAGTAAAAGTCTTCTGATAGTGTAGTAAAAATAGCCCTTTGAAATCTGGTTCTGGAAATTAGAATCGCAACTCTTTAATCTAGTGTTGTTTCTGTTTGGACAAGAATCAAATTGTTTGTACATTGATAATTGTATATCTACTGATAATGAAATTGGGTGAATTGTTTTATCTGATTTAGATGGTTTCACTATTTTATTAAATGTTGTATGTAGGAAAAAATTGAAGCATATGAATCTAGAATATCATCGACTCAATCAAAAGAAATGTCCAATTCAGATTCATTGGCTCATGCTTTAGGAATCAAAGAGCATTGTGGACGCATTCGTGGTTTAGGTTTGGATCCTTGCCCATCTAAAGTCTTTGGAGTCCATGCTCGTTCTCATGGTGGATCATCTTCAACTTCTGCTTCTAATGTTGAATTACAAACTCAGGTTAATGAATATTTTATCAATTACTTGGTTTGTTCTTTTTATGATCAACTTCTTAGATATCATTTTTCTTACTTTTTAAATAATTTCATCTTTTAAAGTTATCTTCATTGACAACACAAGTCAATGAAATGAGGCAGTGATATCATTACTGTTGCAAAATTATCCGGGCCAATTGCCTTTACAGCTTGCTACATTTCAATCATCATCGGTAATAATTGCTAAATTTATTTGTATGATCTTTTTTTAAATATATAATCGACTAACTATTATGTTATATTGTAGGTATCCGATAAAGGAAGTGTGTCAAACGATGGATGTAATGAAGAAGAAGAACCTTAGACATATTTGTATTTAATTTTTAGTATTGAACATCTTTGTCTTTAATTTTTTTTATAGCAAAACTGTGCAGAGAATTCAAAATGGAATAACATTGAATTTTAATTTGAGTGTGCCACTCTCTGAAAACAAACTTGATCGAGAGACTACTTTCGGATGGTAAAGTACTTCTCTATATATCGTTATCCTCAAAACTGATATTATACAATTAAAATGGTGTGCTATAAAGTTCTTACTTTCATTCTGGTGTGTGGGAACTAAGGTGCGTGAAAAATCTATGTTGAAAAGAAACAAAAAAGGTAAAATTCATAGTAAGCAGAAGTATAATGCATCCTGATACCTTTAGATGTTTACTGCACTATTGATAATGCTATATATAGTTAGTAATAAAGTATGAATATAAGATAATTTATTTGTTCCATTGAAAGTTTATGGATCCATTAACAAAAGGAGATTATCCAAAATTTACAAAGAAGCATTCCAGATTACTTATTAATTCATTTGATTTTATTAGCATAAACTACTACACTGCTACATAGGTATCTAATGCATCAGAATTAAGAAATTCTCCAATTTCAACCCAAAACAAAAGATTTGTATGCATTTCTGGCGGTTTTGGATAAAACCCCGAAAAATTTTCGAACCCAACTACTTCTGGCGAACCCCGGTTAGTTCTAGCGGTTCTCTAGAAATCCCTGGAAAATNTTTAAATCTCGATTGAACGGTCTCACCTGTATTTTATATATTATGTATTTTACGCAGGTCACAATAGACGGTCAACCGAAGACCGAGCGATCTACTATCTAAACCGATCGACCTTACAACATAATCTGTTTTTTATTAATTTTCCAAACCTTGTAAATGCATTGGTTTGTCTCGCTACTCTTTTTCTCTAATTCTACAGCGCAGATAAGCACATCTTACATGCATAGGCGGACACCAGAGATTCGTCCATACTGAAGCACTCAAAACCGGGAAAACACTCCTAGACCTGGTAGATGTTCGCCCTAGAACACCCAGAACATCAACCGCTCGACAATCCATGTCCACGAGCGTTCAAACAGTCGGCCGTTCGGCTTCAAAGGTATCCGCCCTTTGATTTCATCCGCTCGACAATCCATGTCCACGAGCGTTCAAACAGTCGGTCGTTCGGCCTCAAAGGTATCCGCCCTTTGATTTCATCCGCTCGACAATCCACGAGCGTTCAAATAGTCGGTCGTTCGGTCTCCAGGGTATTCGCCCTTTGATTTCAACCGCTCGACAATCCATGTCAACGAGCGTCCAAGCATTCTGCCCTTCGACCTCAAAAGCATTCGCCCTTTGATTTCATCCGCTCGACAATCCACGAGCGTTCAAATAGTCGGCCGTTCGGTCTCTAGAGTATTCGCCCTTTGATTTCAACCGCTCGACAATCCATGTCAACGAGCATCCAAGCATTCTGCCGTTTGACCTCAAAAGCATTCGCCCTTTGATTTCATCCGCTTAACAATCCACGAGCGTTCAAATAGTCGGCCGTTCGGTCTCCAGGGTATTCGCCCTTTGATTTCAACCGCTCGACAATCCATGTCAACGAGCATCCAAGCATTCTGCCGTTCGACCTCAAAAGCATTTGCCCTTTGGTTTCAACCGCTCGACCATCCATGGCCACGAGCGCTCAAGCATTCGACCGTTCGACGCCACTGATGTTCGACCATTCGGCCTCAATGACGTTCGTCTGCTTGGCTTCAAGCGTTCGGCCATTAGGTCTTACTAACGTTCGGTCATTTGTCCTCAAACCTTAGGCCTCAATGACGTTCGTCCGCTTTGCTTCAGTCATTCGGCCATTAGGACTTACTGACGTTCGGTCATTTGTACTCAAACATTCGGCCTCAATGACGTTCGTCCGCTTGGCTTCAATCGTTCGACCATTAGGTCTTACTGACGTTCGGTCATTTGTCCTCAAACCTTCGGCCTCAATTGTTCAGCTTTCCGTGACCTCAAGTGTTCAGCATTCGGCCTCACATGTCACTCGACCTCTACCGTTCGGTCATCCATGACTACAAGCATTCCAGCACTCGGCCCTTCGAACTCACAGGTTTTTGGTCATCCGACCTCACCGCTCGATCATCCTTGGCCTCAGTGGTTAAAACGTTCAGTCCACAAATGAGCAACGACCGTAAACACGCTCCCTAACACTACGACTACAACCTCCCTCAAACTCATAAGTCCTATAGTTACCCCTCCATAAAACAGAACGGTTAACTCGGACTTGGGGGGCATGTATCGTAGGATATTTATTAGATAAAATATCTTAGATATTTTGAGCGGTTAAGATATTTATGAGTAACTAACCAGATTTTTAGGTAAGGTTATTTTTATTGGCCTATAAATACAATGACAGGGAAAAACACCAGGTACGTCCCCTCTACGTTCTACTTATGCCAGAGGAACTCTAGATAATATTTTACAGTGATAATATAATCACTTTCTTAGAGCTGAGGCTCCATAACTCAATCTGACTTGAGCGTCGGAGTATCTTCGCAGGTACCTCCCCCTCCTTTGGAGCATGAACGCCAACAATTGAGGAAAAGCAAGCGTCCCGGATATCTAGAAGCAACAAAGACACACCGGACAACATTTACACCGAAACACTTTGTAAATAAATTTGACTTGAATCTTATATTTCAAGTCAGATGCATTCTTTTCACAACCCAATCTATCTATGCATCAATAGCTTTTATATTATGTTTCAAGTGAGACTCCTAAAACTTACAAAGAAGATATAATTCAAAATACCATTCAAGTAAGTAATGTAAATTCATAATACCATTACAAATAAGCATTCACAATTGATTTATTATGTAATTGTTGTTAATTTTGATTAAAATCTGTTTTGAAGACAAAGTTTGCAATCAATTATGATATTCAAATCAACTACGTCTTCAAAGCACTTAATCATAAATGGAGAGTGTCCCATATGCACCGGGCGGTCAGAGAGCAGTATAACGGCCGGTGTTTCTTCAATCTTTTTATTCCTCTGATAGCATTGACCGGACGGCTGGCATCAGCACTCACCACACATTGTGTGACCCGACCATTCATCAGCCTCCTCGAATGAGTAATGACGGTATACCGTCTGGGCGGCGGTGTAAGGCCGGCCGGTCGGTAACCTGGATCATTAAGACTAGGATTAAGGTAAATGGTGATTAGAGCCATTGGGCTGAAATTGGGTCGTGACTAACTCTTCACTAATCCCAAGCCCATGGCGAAAACTATAAATACAGGTCAGAGGTGAGTGGTAGATAGGTTGCATTTACTACACAATCATTACTATTTCATTGAATCGCCGAACGGTTCCTGTACTGACTTTGGCATCAGAGAATCTTTGACAGGTTCCTCCCGAACAGAAGAGTGGACAACAAAGCTTGGAAAGAGACCGGACGGCTAGAAGACAAATTGTGGAGGAGTTTGGTGACTTAGCCCCAAATAACCGAAACAGAGAGATTCTCGACAAGAATTGTGGCAACAAAGAGATTATGGCACACGTACTAGAGATGAATTGATTGTTATGACTCCAAAAGGAATAGATAAAGATCATTGGGATTCTTTTGTTGACTACCGGCTTGATGAAAGAACAAAGGTAAACCTAAATTTTTTTTTCTTAAAATTATGTTATAAATTAATAACTTTTTATATGACAATGTCAGGAGATTGCCCAAAAAAATAAGCATAAATGGACAAAGCAAACTCTTGCTCACACAGGGGGGTCGAGAGTATTGCAAGGAAAAGGGAAGAAATGGTGAAGTGTTATTATTCTTCAGCTTTCTATTTCTCATTATATTTATGACATACTTACTATGCATTCGTCCATTTTCATTGGAAAGAGAGTGTTGATACAAAGTTATCAGAGGAAAATTCTGGATAGCTACCCATAAGAAGACCAATAGAGCTTTTGTTAGTGATGAGGCAAGAGAAATTGGAGTAAGTTTTATTCCTGCTACAGATGTATAATAGTTTAGTGCAGCAAATATGAAATTTATAGATGTAATTATGAGTTGGGTTTCGCATTGATTGACGTTGTGCCATTGAAAATTGCATTCTTAAATATTGAGTCTGTTTCAACTGTGAAGCAAATGAATTAATATGATTAGTAATGCTTATGAGTATTGGTTTAATAGTATAGATAACTTCATGATGTATGTCTGGTATTGCATGAACTCATCTTTAAACTCTAAAACTATGTTAAGTGTCGAATGTATGTTATTATGTGAACTGTATAAATGGTTTATATGAACATAAGATAGGAAATTGATGGTCAAAGCCTAAACTAGCTTGTGTGTTATCATGTACCTAAGTTGTAGCATGGAAGTGTGTGGTTATTAGAACTTTGTGCTTATGGTGAGTTATAGGAAGTATTATACTGGTCAAAAGTGAAGGATGAATATAATTAGTTAAACCTTTGTCTTTTATTCATGTATTAAACGTGAAGGATGAAGCTAACCTTTGTCTCACTTATTCTCTCAACCGAACCAACTTTTGCTCTCTTCAATTTTTCTTCTAATTCGTGCACATTTAAGTGATGGATTAAAACAATGTTATAGCTGTGGAATAAACAATTTTGGTACTCTTTCATTATTAAACCATTGTTATCATATCAGTTCATAAACTAAATACTTGAACCAAAGAAAATTGAAGTAAAAGTCTTCTGATAGTGTAGTAAAAATAGCCCTTTGAAATCTGGTTCTGGAAATTAGAATCGCAACTCTTTAATCTAGTGTTGTTTCTGTTTGGACAAGAATCAAATTGTTTGTACATTGATAATTGTATATCTACTGATAATGAAATTGGGTGAATTGTTTTATCTGATTTAGATGGTTTCACTATTTTATTAAATGTTGTATGTAGGAAAAAATTGAAGCATATGAATCTAGAATATCATCGACTCAATCAAAAGAAATGTCCAATTCAGATTCATTGGCTCATGCTTTAGGAATCAAAGAGCATTGTGGACGCATTCGTGGTTTAGGTTTGGATCCTTGCCCATCTAAAGTCTTTGGAGTCCATGCTCGTTCTCATGGTGGATCATCTTCAACTTCTGCTTCTAATGTTGAATTACAAACTCAGGTTAATGAATATTTTACCAATTACTTGGTTTGTTCTTTTTATGATCAACTTCTTAGATATCATTTTTCTTACTTTTTAAATAATTTCATCTTTTAAAGTTATCTTCATTGACAACACAAGTCAATGAAATGAGGCAGTGATATCATTACTGTTGCAAAATTATCCGGGCCAATTGCCTTTACAGCTTGCTACATTTCAATCATCATCGGTAATAATTGCTAAATTTATTTGTATGATCTTTTTTTAAATATATAATCGACTAACTATTATGTTATATTGTAGGTATCCGATAAAGGAAGTGTGTCAAACGATGGATGTAATGAAGAAGAAGAACCTTAGACATATTTGTATTTAATTTTTAGTATTGAACATCTTTGTCTTTAATTTTTTTTATAGCAAAACTGTGCAGAGAATTCAAAATGGAATAACATTGAATTTTAATTTGAGTGTGCCACTCTCTGAAAACAAACTTGATCGAGAGACTACTTTCGGATGGTAAAGTACTTCTCTATATATCGTTATCCTCAAAACTGATATTATACAATTAAAATGGTGTGCTATAAAGTTCTTACTTTCATTCTGGTGTGTGGGAACTAAGGTGCGTGAAAAATCTATGTTGAAAAGAAACAAAAAAGGTAAAATTCATAGTAAGCAGAAGTATAATGCATCCTGATACCTTTAGATGTTTACTGCACTATTGATAATGCTATATATAGTTAGTAATAAAGTATGAATATAAGATAATTTATTTGTTCCATTGAAAGTTTATGGATCCATTAACAAAAGGAGATTATCCAAAATTTACAAAGAAGCATTCCAGATTACTTATTAATTCATTTGATTTTATTAGCATAAACTACTACACTGCTACATAGGTATCTAATGCATCAGAATTAAGAAATTCTCCAATTTCAACCCAAAACAAAAGATTTGTATGCATTTCTGGCGGTTTTGGATAAAACCCCGAAAAATTTTCGAACCCAACTACTTCTGGCGAACCCCGGTTAGTTCTAGCGGTTCTCTAGAAATCCCTGGAAAATTGGCAGAAAACCGCTGGTAACTTTGTGACGGTGGTTTTCCCAATGGTTCCTTTAACCTCTGGAAACGTATTTTTCAAGGGTTAAATCTCCCAGTAAGGTTAAAAACAACCCCAACTAAAATTGAAGATTTTTGTAGTGTATAGCCTAATAATTACAATTCTTCATATACTAGAAAAACATACTATACCATAAGTATTAGATAGCGCATTCATTAATTTTGTCTTTTCACTTATTTACACATTATAAACATCAATAATGGTGAAAATTGTTCTTCCTAATTTATTTAAAATGAAGATTTGCCTACTAAAGAATTTTATAGATATGAGAAATAAGTTATTTTTATTATCTAATTTAACTATCAAATCATAATATATAAGAAATATAGTAAACCTTCTACCGTGAAGAATCTTATTTTCACCCTATTGCTATATCGTATCTTTATGTGGTATCTTTATGTGGTAAGGGTGAAAAGGAAAGAAAAGAATTGAAGAAAAAAGTGGAGAGTTTGTAAAGTGAGTGAAAATTAAATTTATTTTGTTAAAGTTGATTCTTATATATATATATATATTGATTTGGTATAGATATTCGAGACCGAGATACGGACCTTGCTGATGTATTTTTGCTGCTTCTAGATGTCCGGGATGCTCGCTTCTCCTTAATTGATATCGCTCGCTCATCTTTCTGGAAGTCATTCGCGCTCCTTCAGTTTATACCGCTCGTCCACTTTCACCAACAGAGGGGGGGAGGTACCTATGAAGGCACTCCGAAGCTCAAGTTAGGCGTAGGTTATGGAGCCTTAGCTTTGAAGAAAGTGATTTTATTATCACTATAAAATAGGTTTAATAGGTTCGGAGGTCCCTATATTTGTGGGTTCGTTTCAATTGGGTCCTCCAATTTTGAAAGTGATCAATTTGGTCCCTAATTTAACAAAATTGAGTCAATAATACCCTTTCAGTTAAATGCAATGGACGACATTAACGTTTTAAACATGTGGTATGTTGAAGCATCCTTCAAATAAAACTGTGCAACCTGCAAATAAAAGGATGCCTCAACATGCTACATGTTTAAAAAGTTAACGTCGTCCATTACATTTAACGGAAAGGGTATTATTGACTCAATTTTGTTAAATTAGGGACCAAATTGATCACTTTCAAAATTGGAGGACCCAATTGAAACGAACCCACAAATATAAGGACCTCCGAACCTATTAAACC